AACCGCCACCTCCTCCTAAGCCGGACTTGAGCCGTTACACAGGGTTGCGAACCCACCTCAGCCTGGCTACTAATGAGGGTAAGAGCTGCCTTGACCGATGAGATTCTATTACCTTCTAGTTAAAGTGAGAATGTTACTTGTGAACTGTAGAAAAAATAGGCAGGGACTGGAAGATATTAGTTTGTTGTGGTGAACACCATGAGAATAAATGTCACTTAGCTATTGGCAGTGAATTGGACTTTTGTGGAACAAACTATCAGAAACTTCTTCTAGACAGGTCAGAGAGCATCCTAGGACCTGTCTGTTGCACTTACACACCATGAGTTCTGGGCTGGTGTGAGCTTTTAGTCTTGATTTCAGCAAAATCATGTTTCTTAGAGTTCTGTTTTTTTCTGAGTATGTGTTTCTACCTTGTCCTCCTCCAGTACTTATTAAAACAACTTGTAAAGTGGTACCTTCTGGGCCTTTTTCTCCTACAGATAGCAGTCTCTTGGGCAAGGACAGCCCCCCCACACCTACCATGTACAAGTATCGACCAGGTTACAGTAGCAGCAGTACATCAGCCGCCATGCCTCATTCCTCCAGCGCCAAGGTACTGAGTACTCTCAAGAAGTGGGGTTTTTTTTTAATTGTGTCTTTATTTTGTTATTATTATTATTATTATAAAGTATTTTATTTAACTTTATTTATTTATTTTTAAATTTGACCAGATAGGGACAGAGTGAGAGAGAGAGGGAAAGCAAGCCACCAGGTCTGAGAATCAGACCACAGTTGGCCATGTGGGAGTCCAGCACACTTAACCAACATGCCACCTGCCAGCCCCAATTATTAATTTGACCAAAGAGACAGAGTGAGAGAAGAGATAATGAGAAAGTAAGCTGCCAGGTCTGGGACTTGAACCGCAGTTGGCCATGTGGGAGTCCAGCACTTTAACCACTGTGCCACTTGCTGTCCCCAAGAAGTGGGGTTTTAACATATGCCTATTGTTTTGAGGGAAAGAAGATTGGAGAACAAAAAGTAGAAGAGAAGAAAACCCGGGAACCAGCAGTTAGCGTAATGGCTATGCCGCTGGACTCCCATGTAGTCGACTGTGGTTTGTGTCCCGGACCCGGTGGCTTAAAACTCGGGCTGGGCACATGTGCGTGCGTGCCCAAGATCCCGAGAGGAGAATGGAGGAGAAGGAATTGCGGCGTGACCATCCCCCCCAGGGGGTGATTTTTCACTTTCTGTCTCTATGTCTCTCTCTGTCTGTCTGTGGCGAGCGCACGCGCCCTATAGCAAAAATAAAAAAAAAAAAAAAAAAAAGGGAAGAAAACCCAAGGGCATTTATTGATTGTTGGCATTAGTGAAATTGAATCTCCTTGTTTAGTGTGTCCTTTACCAAAGCATGGGCAATGTAGCATAATAGATAAAAGCACTGATTACAGTGTCAGAGCTGAATTCAAAACCCCCTTCTGCCACCACTGGCAAGTTACTTAACCTCTACATCTTAAAATGAGATATTATTGGTTTTTCAACTTACAGACTTGTTAATGTAGCTACAAGTTGTAAGCATTTTACTGGCACATAATAAATGCTGCGTTTGATTGCATTCCTGGACTCTGCGGTCTAGCATCTGTCGTAAGTGGCGCATTAAGAACCTACTTTACTTTTTTCCTCAGTTGAGTCGCGGGGACAGCTTAAAGGAGCCAACTTCAATTGCAGAGAGCAGCCGCCAACCCAGCTACCGGTCAGAGCCCAGCTTGGAGCCAGAGAGCTTTCGTTCTCCCACCTTTGGCAAAAGCTTTCACTTCGATCCACTGTCCAGCGGCTCACGCTCCTCCAGCCTCAAGTCAGCCCAGGGCACAGGCTTTGAGCTGGGCCAGTTGCAGTCCATTCGTTCAGAGGGCACCACCTCCACCTCTTATAAGAGCTTGGTTAACCAGACACGCAATGGAAGCCTATCTTACGATAGCCTGCTCACTCCTTCAGACAGCCCTGATTTTGAGTCAGTGCAGGCAGGGCCTGAGCCAGACCCACCTTTAGGCTACACCTCTCCCTTCCTGTCAGCCCGGCTGGCCCAGCAGCGGGAAGCTGAGAGGCACCCACGCTTGGTGCCAACTGGCCCAACACATCGAGAGCCCTCACCAGTCCGTTATGACAATCTGTCACGCCACATCGTGGCCTCCCTCCAGGAACGAGAGAAGCTGCTGCGCCAATCACCTCCACTCCCAGTCCGTGAAGAAGAACCAGGCTTGGGGGACTCAGGCATTCAGTCAACACCAGGCTCAGGCCATGCCCCTCGTACTAGTTCCTCCTCAGATGATTCGAAGAGATCGCCCTTGGGCAAGACTCCACTGGGACGTGCAGCTGCCCCCCGTTTTGGCAAACCAGATGGGCTAAGGGGCCGGGGACTAGGGTCCCCTGAACCAGGCCCAACTGCCCCTTACCTGGGCCGATCAATGTCTTACAGCAGCCAAAAAGCCCCACCTGGTGTCTCTGAGACAGAGGAAGTGGCCTTGCAGCCATTACTGACACCCAAGTAAGTATTAATACCATCCTAGCCATCACTCAACTTAAAATTAGCATATTACCCTACAGAAAATATCAGGGATTCACATGTACTTTCTAGTGTTGGTAGACCAGGGGAGGATACATCCTCAGAGCTCTTCATTTCCACATTCATGCCAGCTGCCTTCATGGGCAATTCCTAGTAAGACACAAGACGTAATTTTCATTAACCTTAACTTCCTAAAAGCATGTATTTGTCTGAGAACAAGTAGAGGTAACTGTCAAAGGAGTAAATAGGAGATATAGGAAATAAGGCTTGTTTTAAGCAGGACAGTAAAATAAAAAGAATATTTGGGTAAGAAAATCTGTATGTAGAAAATTGTATAGGAAAGTACATTAATTTTCTCTTTAAGCTGTCTCCCCTTTGTCGTGTCCCACTTCCTGATATCTGTCTCTTTTCTTTCCAGAGATGAAGTACAGCTCAAGACCGCCTACAGCAAATCCAACGGGCAGCCCAAGAGTATAGGCTCAGCCTCCCCTGGCCCAGGCCAGCCGCCTCTCAGTAGCCCCACAAGGGGAGGAGTCAAGAAGGTGTCAGGGGTGGGTGGTACCACCTATGAGATTTCGGTGTGAGCCTTCGGCGCCTCCCCTCCTCCATGCCTCTGCGCCTACACCAAAGGGCCCCAGGTGGCCACCTACCCTCAAGGGGCTTCCCTCCCCTGCATGGACATTTTTAAAACCACCGATTCCAAGAGGATGAGGAGCGTTTTATAAGATGCAGTGGGCTGGGGAGTTGGAGAGTTGGGGCCCTGACACTGGGGTAGCAACCCCCTTTTACCTTTAAGACCTTCCTTTCCTTAATCCCTGGACCAGACTCAGTGGACATTTGTGCAATTGCTTGCCCTGGAGGGAACCAGATCATTTTTAAACCAGAAATAATTTTTTTTATTATTGTTACGGATTCTATTTTTTTCCTCTTCTGCGTTACCAGGTGTGTGTGTACATATATATATATATTATAAATATCAAAGAAATTATATATCTATCCTGGGATGGGAAAATGAGGGAGGGATATGTATAAGGAGGATCTTCTTCTTCCTGTTCTTCAGACCAGCAGGAAAAGAGACATTAAAGTCTTCCTTTCCCCCCATGGTTCCCTCTTTTGTCCTTGTTACCAACTAAGGAGACAGCACCCTATTGGTGCTAAGTGATCAGGAAAGAAACCTGGGGAGAGGTGAGTCTGGGGTCTTGGTCAGAAGAGGAAAGGATTTAGAAAGAAAAGTTAGTTTTCTAGGCTCATTGGCAGTTAGTTTCCCCGGGAAAGGGGTCAAAGCTCTGTGTCATTGGTGGTGGTAAGGGAGATCAGGAAAAGAGCTTGGCCTTCCTTAAGAAACAATACTGAATAATCCACTCTTTTTGGGGAGAAGAATTAGAGTGGGCTTCTTCAATTCACCCTCAATGTCCCCTAGCTTTTACAGTTGACATGATTTTAAAATCCAAGAATCCAAAAAGCAATATTTTTCATCATATGCCAAAAACGGGATAGAGAGAAGGAGTGGCAGGCTTAGGCCCCTCCAATTGTCCCTTGGGGTTACCCCTAAGCCCACCTCAGTATGGTGCTGGGTTAAGGGGATACCTGGGTTCTAACCTCTAAATAGGGGAGACCCCAGCCTCTACACAGAGGCCCTTTTATTTTTTATTCTGATTAGCCATTTTAAACCAACAGGGAATAAAAAAAAATCCTGATCTAACCAGCTCCCCCTGACTTGTGTTATTTTCTCTTGTTAAGGCAGGGTGAATGGCCCCTGGGGGGAAGTCATCACAAAGAAAATCTCAAGTTTGTCTGGTCTTGACCGTCTTTAGGCTAGGCAGGACTATAGTGAAATTAACCACCTAAAACAGGTCCTTTCAAAGCCTACAGAATTCTTGAGTTGGGTCACAGCTGTTCCTTAATAAAGGATTTTGTCTTGAAAAGTAAAACATTTTGGATACAGCCAAAGATGAACTCTAGTAATCAAGGTATGAAAAGCTGTTAAAAGATACTGTCTTCTAGCTGTCAAAAGTAAAAGGTATTCTCATTTTAGACAGGTACCCTCAGACACTAAATTTCAGAAAACTGGCCATAATCTTTTACTTTTAAACTCTTATTCTGAAATCCTGGATTAAAATGAGCTGAATGAATGGTTTTTCACCTGTTGATCTATGCACATTAGTTCATAGCAAAAGTTGTAACTGTTCAGTGTTAAATTTAGTCAGATTATTTAGTTTGGTTTTCTCATGATCATTTTCAGTTAACTGTACTGCTGTAAAACCTGAAGAGATTGATTTTACTTTTCATATTGTAGGTTGCCTTTTCTGTTGCTATTGAAGCTCAGACATGTTTTTGTATCAGCCAAATAGTTCCATTTCCTTAGGTAAACGTAAGGAGGCAGGTGAAGAGTTCATATAAAGACAGGAGAAGCATTTACCTTTGTTTGCCAGAGGTTTCATTTCAAACGATAACAGGATTCTGACTTAAGAACCAATCTTGTTGAAATACACTGGTGATTGTGGATGCTTTTTCAGTCAGCTATTCTGTTTCAACACAAAATTGACCTAAAACATAGAGCTGAGCCCTGAATATATCAACTCTTCAGAAGGAACCTGAAGATGATCCAGGCACTTGGTTTTCAAGATTATGGGCAGTGTTATGTGTTGGCTGTGGAAAAGTATTAGCAACCTGTGCCTCACTTTTGGACCAAGCTCTCCAATCTCATTTTACTTGTGTCCCTGCCTGCTAATGAGATAATATAATGACAAGACTCAAATCCCCTCAGATCTTATTTAGGAATGCCTTATCTTAAACCCTGACTCTCATAGAAAGGCACTTACCTCTTAATAGGCAGCCACACTTTAGCCAGTTTGATAAATGCTTTTTTTTTTTGGTAAGAAAACCCCTAACAGATCAAGTCCTAAATCAGACAAATTGCACAAAAGGGAAAGACACAAAACTTCCTGAGAGAGGAAGAGATGTCCTGGAAAAAGCAAACTGGGCCAAGCCTTACAAAGCACGGCCCTTTTCTAATGTAGTAATCTCAGCTGAGGACACCAGATGCTGGCCTCTGCCCCAACTGTAGATGCCCCCAAGACAATGTCCAAGAGTCCAAGAAGACAGTTACTGTCAGCAGGTTCAGTACAACAAAAGCCATCCTGGCCGAGCCCAGTGGTCTTGTTAGCGAAGGCTGCTACTGCTGCTGGCCTGGGAGCTACCCATACCTGGGTGGTCTGGACTGTGTCGGTTCTGGGGAAGACAAAGAAGGAAGGGTAAGAACAACCAAGAACTAGCTTTAAATTCGACCAAAGCTATATGGAAAAAAATTGCAAGCTGCCCTGGATTTTTTCAACTTGGGGCCAACTTGAGGCAAAGGACTCTACTTAGGACATGAGTGAGATACAGGGAAATTCACTGGGCTGTAAGAAAGGCCCCTCCCCTACCTTTTTTTTCTTCTTTTCTTTCTTCTTTCTTTTCCGTTCAGGATCCTCCTCTTTTTTCTTTTTCTTCTTCTTGTGATCCGAATCGGATGGTGTTTCTGTAGGAGACATTAGGTGCCTATCACCTGTAGAACTAAAAAATCCTCTACTGCTATGAATTCCGACTATAGGAAAACCACTATAGTTAGGGATAATGGCTTGTTTTCAAATGGCAAAAATAGAGAGGTGCTGCTAGAGCCTCTGTCCCAAGTACTTACTTACCCAAGACACCCCAGTACATCAGTTTTCTTCAGGAAAATTTGGGGAGTTCATGGCTATGTAAGGAAGTTAACTAGGTTTAACTGGAAGGTTGAACTGTATTTGGAAGGTTAGGGGTTTTGGCTCTGAAAAGAACCACTTCTTGGGACCAGCAGGTGGTGTGAGGTTAGGACCTAGACTCACATGTTGTCAACCACAGTTCAAGTCCCAGATGTTCAAGTCCAGGACTCACACTGGGAGCATGTGCAGGTGTGCCCAAAATCCCAAGAGGAGAAAGGAGAAGGAACTGTGATGTGGCCATTCCCTGTATGGGGTGATTTCTCACTTTCTGTCCCTCTGGCAAGTGCATGCCCCTACAGCAAAAATCTCTCAAAAAACAACAAAAAGAACTTACCTGGGGGGACAGGATCCTGGGTGCGGCTCTGTTTGTGCTTATGTTTATTCTTCTTCTTGGGAGGCTGAATATGCATCAGACGACACTGCTCCGGCAACTAAAAGAACCAAAGGAAGGTCCAGGTGAATAGTGGGAGGAAATCCCCTGCTCCCAGCACCTGTTTTGCTCATTAAGTTATGAGGTAACAGACGACATAAAAACCACTTTTCAGTGCCTTTTAGGCCTCCCCACTTGCCTTCTTTCTCCCCCAAAAGGAACCTACCGGGCCTGTGTGGAGGCGGAAGCCAGCTAGCATGGTCCCCGTGATAGGATTAAAAGAGCCACCAAGAATAGGGGGCTTCTCAATGAGGGAGCGAAGGCTGCTGTTGTCATGGGAACCAGGCAGATCAATCATTCCTGGCAGGTCAGGCAAGAAGTTACTTAGCTTCTCCTTCACCTTCTTCCCACAGAATTTATTATAGGCATGTTCCAGGTTATAGTGTGTGATCAGGTTGGTGCTGCCTGTCAGCTCGGTGCTACCTAGAGAACACAGAATAATAAAGATTAGTCCTGAAAGTAGAGAAGTTTTTTTTTCTTTCACCCAGAGAGCAAGTAAAGGACTGTATTTTAATCTAAAGAATGTTTAACGTGAAAATTATAGAACTTTTTAATTATCTTGAAGAAACAATAATAAAAGAAAAAATACAGTACTCCAGAGTGCTAGGAAAGGGAAAAAGTAGGCACAAATCCAAATACGGCAGAGATGGGAACAGCTCTAGCCCAATGGAAGGAAATGTTTCATTCTTCTTGAACTAATTGGCAATCTGTCAGATGTTTTTCATAAAATGAACTAGTGAAGAATTACATTCACCAATATGGCCAATATAATAGTACCTCATAGTTCAGATACAAGCACACTAAGGGCCAAATCTGACTCAGTGGCTTGAAGGTCTTGTCAAAGACCACTAGTTTGGGTTTGTTTAAGCATTAATACCAAGAAACACTACCTGGGCCAGCCTATTTCATAGTAGTTGAGCACTGTGTATAGGGAGTGGATCCCATATAGCTAACTGTGATTTGAGTCCCAGCCAGCTTAAAAACAGGCCAGGCACATGTAAGCGTGTGCTCCAAATTCTGACAGGATGGAGAAATGACCACACCTCACTGGGTGGGGAGTGCTTTCTCTGGTGAGCATATGCACTGGCAATAAACATAAAACAGCAATCACATTTTTTTTTCTTTTTAGTTTTTGCTATAGGGTGTGTGTGCTTAACACAGAGAGAGTGAGAAATCACCCCCCAGTAGGAATGGCCACTGTTGTACTCCCTACTCCAGTTTCCTCTCAGGATTTTGGGTACACACCCACATGTGCTTGGCATGATTTTTTAAGCTGCTCAAACTGCAGTTGGCCATCCAACTTCCATGTCATCTGCTGGCCTAGTAATCAACTCTTAAGTAGACAAACAGCCAGGAAAATTTTCTATGTAACAGTCTAACTTTTGTTACCAATATCTTTATTCTCCTGGATGGTACTGAGTATAATGCTTTGGCTAGAAAGGAGAACTGTTTGATTAGAAGTCAGGGAACTAGAATTCTAACCCTGGCTGCTCTCTATGTCTCAGAGTAGAAATATCACTCCATCCATAATTGAGATGGACACACAGGGTACAAATGACAAAAGTAGCTTGTTTATAATCATTCACTTGGGAAAACTCAGGTTCTGAACTGTGAGCCCCTAGAGAACAGAGATAATTTGTTCACTCATGTAGCACTAGTGCCCAGCATAGGGCAGACGCTAAGTGCTCAGTTTGTCTTAGTAAATGAACAAGTTACGTTTCCTCTATACCTCTAGTCCCTACTCCATCCTTCCCTTCCCTTTGCTGCCAAATGTCTCACAAGAGTGGTTTACTGAAATGGCAGGAGACTCATTGTGACTTACCTCTCAACTCTGGACACTGCCTCCTGCTGCTAGTCTGATGTTTTCCCCTCTGCCAGCTCTCCTCCATTCAGGTGTTTATGCCCAAGGCACAGACAACAAGGCATGCTATGCTTTTTCTAAACTTTAACTTCCTATTTTGACTATTCTATTTCCCACCACAAAACCGTTCTATTCATCATCATTATTTTTAGTCTGACCAGAGAGAGATGGGTGGGGTGGGGTGGGCTGGGTGGGAGGTGGTGAGAAAGCAAGCTGCCAGGTCCAAGACTCTTAACTGGTCAGCCATGTGGGAGTTCAGTGCCACAATCACACCACCTGCTGGCCCCTGAATATTAATTCTATGCAAATTTATAAATCTCTTTGGCCAAACCTGACTCTATATTTTAAAGGGTTATTTAACTTTTACTTATTTATTTTAATTTGACCAGAGAGGGATAAAGTGAGAGAGAGAGCTAAAATGCAAGCCATTAGATCCAACTTACTACTTATTTTATCCTTAAACCACATATTTCACATCCATAATTTTTAAAAATTCCTTAAAAATGGGACTGGAGGAGCCAGCTGATGACATGGTTAAAGCGCTGGACTTCCACATGGCTGACTGCAGTTGGAGTCCCGGACCTGGTAGCTTGAAAATCACGCTGGGTGTGTGTACGTGCATGCCCAAAATCTCAAGAGGAGGAGGAGGAGGGATTGCAGTGTGGCCATCCCCCCTTGGGAATGATTTCTCAGTTTCCCTTTCACTCCTTTTCTCTCTTTCAGCAATCACACGTGTCGTATGGCAAAAACCTAAAATAAATAAATAGATAAGTGGGACTAGAGCCTGTGATGTGGTAGTTAAGGCAGCTAGATCCCACATGACTGGGATTCAGCCCCAGACCCAGCAGCCACTTGAAAACACTGTACATGCCTCAAATCCTCAGAATGGAAGAGAAGGGATTGCAGTGTGGCATTCTTGGGGGGGTGGGGGGAGTGCTTTCTCACTTTCTCTCTTATGAGCGCACATGCCCTCTAGCTAAATAAATAATTGTTAAAGTGGGGATGGATAGTGGTGCAGTGATACAATGCAACACTCTAGGGGACCCATAGAGATTGGCAATTCAAGTCTAGAGACCTCCCTGAGTATGCTGAGCAAATAACCAGGGCTTGCTGAAACGGGGGGTGGATTGTGGGATCAAGATCCTCATGGGGATGCTATCATTCTTACTAGTAGAAAAAATAAATTAATAAAAAGGAAGCTTTACAGTAAGCCTAAAGAGCAAGGTGGACTAGTCAATGGCCTAGTGGTTAAGAGAGCCAGAGCCCACACAGCCAATTGTGTGGTTTGAATCTCAGCCCTGGTAGCTTAAAAAACATGCTAGGTACATTTGTGTGTGTACCCCAAATCCCAAAAGGACAGAGCAGTAGAGGAGAAGAGATTGTGGCATGAGCACACCCCAATGGACAATGCTTTCCCTCCCAGCCTTTGGCAAGCACATGTCTCCTCTGGCACATTTACAAAAACAAGCCAAAAACAGCAAGGACTGATTGACTGACTCACAGCCTAGTGGTTAAGGGAGCCAGATTTCTCATGGCTGACTGCAGTTTGAAAAAACTTGATGGGACCAGCAGTTAGCGTAATGGCTATGTCGCCGGACTCCCTTGTAATCAACCGCAGTTTGAGTCCCAGACCCAGTGGCTTGAACTCACACCAGGCGTGTGTGTGTGCGTGCCCAAGATCCCGAGAGGAGAATGGAGGAGAAGGGATTATGGTGTGGCTATCCCCCTGGGGGGGGGATTTCTCACTTTCTATCTCTCTGTCTCTCTCTCTCTCTTTCCGGCGAGCACACACGCCCGATAGCAAAAACCTCTCCAAAAACAAAACAAAAAAAAAACATGATGGGTGTGTGTATGCATGTGCATGTGCACGTGTCCAAAATCCTGACAGGATGGAGAAATAGAGACGGTATTATAGTGTGACCAGGCCCCAATGGGAGGTTCTTTCTCCATCTCTCTCCTCTGGCAAGCACATGTACCTTCTGGCAACTAAAAAACAAAAAGCAAAAAAAAGCAAGGACCAAGTTTATTAATCTGTCCCCTTCCCTTTATATGTCTCCCTCCCAACATAGCCAGCATTTGCTCAGGACAGACATTAAATATCTCAACCAAACTGACATAAAGTTGGTATGATCAGAAAAGGTAAGGCCAAAAAGGAAGGTTAAATAAACTGTTGATGGATATCGGGACCAGCAGTTAGCATAATGGCTATGTCGCTGGACTCCCACGTAGTCGACCGCGGTTCGAGTCCCAGATCCGGTGGCTTAAGCTCACGCCAGGCGCATGTGCATGCGTGCCCAAGATCCCGAGAGGAGAATGGAGGAGAAGGGATTGCGGCGTGGCCATCCCCCCTGGGGGGTGATTTCCTGCTTTCTGTCTCTCTCTGTTTGTCTGGCAAGCGTACGTGCCCTATAGCAAAAATCTCTCCAAAAAAAAAAAAAAAAAGAAATTGTTTATGGATATCAACCACTAACTAAATAAGGAAAAGCAACATTTTTAAAAAAAGAATTTACTATTTATTGTAATTTGACCAGAGAGGGAACGAGAGAGACAGAGACAGAGAGGTGAGAAAGCAAGCCGCCAGGTCCAGGACTCAAACCATGGTTGGCCATGTGGGAGTCCAGTGCCCTTAACTATGACACTGACTGGCCCCAGGAAAAGCAACATTTCTATGCTTCAGAGTTGCCATTTAAGAAATGCAGATAATGGACCAGGAGTTGGTGTTGAGGTTAAAATGGCTGGATCTTACATGGCCAACTGTGACGTTCAAGTCCCATATCCAGTGGCCCAAGAAACACACCAGACAAGTGTGCATGTGTGCCCAAAATCCCAAGAGGAAATAAAGGAGAAGGTATTGTGGTGTGGCCATTATCCCTGGAGGGTGATTTCTTACTTTCCCCCCTCTCTGTTGCTCTCTGGCGAGCACACGTGCCATATTTATTGGTAAAAAAAAGTAGGTTAACAATATCTACCTCTAAAATCTCTTCTAAAATAAATTATTACATAAGTGTATTGTGAACTTTAAGGACCTGTGGCAATATTTATTGTTATTCAGAAGTCATGATATGGCAACAAGACTCGGAATGAGGGAGCAGCAGATAGCATAATGACCGTGGTTTAAGTCCTGAGCCTGATGGCTTAAACCTCACACTGTGTGTGTGCATGCCCAAGATCCTGGAGGAGAATGGAGGAAAAGGGATTGCGGTGTGGCCATACCCCTGGGGAGGGGTGATTTCTCGCTTTCTGTCTCTGCTTCTCTATGTCTTTCCGGTGAGCACATGTGCCCTATAACAGAAAGCTCTCTCTTTTATAAAAAAAAAAAAATGTGATTAACTGAAAGATATCTTAGAAACTTAACATGTACAAACAACTCTTGATTTCTGCTTCCTCAAAGTGTTCCTGCCCCAGCTTCCTGGTTGCAGCATTACCATCCACCCTATTATTTAAGGCTCCAAACTTTCAAGTCTTCCTCAATTCCCATCTCTCCTTCACTTCTATAGATATACTTTTTTTACCCCTCTTCATAAAAATTTGCTATGGGGGTGGGGGGGCGCTGGCAGGTGGGGTGGTGGTTAAAGGACTGGACTTCCACATGGCCAACCATGGTTTAAGTCGTGGACATGGC